CCCCAAAACCCCAAAACCCCAAAACCCCAAAACCCCAGCCAATAATAAATATAAAATATTAATCAATGGGTGGAATCTCCACTGCACTTGAAGGGCCTAAATCAAGAATAGACACATCTGAGACACAAGAAATCATTGAACTTAGAGCAAGATTTCAGCTTGATCTCAGCTTTATCCAGAGGTAAAGTTTAGACTAAATTCCCATTTTGACTAACTTTCTAAATATTTAAGCACTAACAAAAGACATTTAGGATGAGGCAGTGAAACATCTACTACGAGGTGAAATACGGTACCCAAGTTCAGGAATGGATTGAGACTGTTCATCATGTAGTTCAAAAATCAGAGGAGGTCTTTATCTTCAAGTATGACATCTCTCAGCGGAATCAACAAATACAGGTAAAGCTCGGGATTGATTCGACTGGAGAAACCAATAACAAGAAGACTAAAAATGACCCTGCCTTCTATGACACCGGAGTCTACTGAGTTGAAGCTGATTTCTCAATACTTGACTGCCTCTTGCTCAAAGGTAAGTCCCTCATCAGAATTATGATATATTGTTTATAGGAGGGTACCAAAAAGCACAGAATATTGGGACAAATATGAAAGCTTTTCAATTTTCCAATAACAGGAAGAAACAAATCATTAAGGCAAGTATCACTGAGAATAAAGATAAGGCCGAGGAACGGTTTATCTTCAAGTGTGCTGGCTCTTTTGTATGTGATCATCCTATCTATGTCGCATGATATAATTATATTAAAGATAAGAGAAATGAATTATTTACCACAAAGCTTTCCGTGAAAAGTAACGAATCAAGAAAGAAAGGGGTTTTCTATTTCGAACCGATACAACTCCATTCTTCCCAATTCGATGGCCCATTTGAGGAACAAGATGTCTTCTTTGATTTTATCTCTGTCTCAGATGTAAGCACTAAAGAAGTGGTTGAGACCATAATAGGATCTGTTTCCATAAACCTTGAACCGTTAATACAACTAGATCCAAATTCTCTACTCCAAATGAAGATTTGTGATGATAATGATGAATATGTGGGCAAAATTAACTTTGGGTCTCCAAAGGTGAGGCCTGTGTATTCATTCTTGGATTATAAGATCAACTTGAACATTGATTTTATTCCTATCCTAGCCCTTGACTTTTCTCTCAGCAATGTGATTGATGCTCAAAAAGGTAACCATGTGGTAAACGATTATATACCTGTAATAAATCATATAAGACAGGTATATAAAGACATCTCCAATTATTGACTAGGTTTTGGGTTTGGAGCTAAAACCTGTAACAAGCAGGTCAGAGCATCTGACATCTTCGCTCTCTCTGGAAACATGTTTGATCCAACAATTGAGTATAACAAGATCTTGAAGTGCTACAAAGAAGTTGAATCTCAGGTTGAGAAATCTTTTCCCGTAAAGTTCACCCCAATCCTTGAGCATGCTACAAGCTATGCTAAACACGAATTTGGGCACCATAAAAATAGGAACTACTATTGCTTGTTTTATATAACTCCTGGTGTGATAGATGATGCTCATGAGACAGCTGAGTTCATCCAAGAGATTTATGACTTGCCTCTAACTGTGAACATTATAAAACTCCAAAACCCATCTTACGTAGACACTAATGATGCTAATATTCTATTGGAGGAATTCAACTCAAAGATGAAAGAGAATAAGAGAAATCCTCTGTTTGTTATAGATTATCAGCGATACAAAGAGGATAATAGTCTTGAAGAGTTTGAGAAGCAGTTGATCCTGAACCTTCCTAAACATGTCGGTAAGCATCTTAAGGCTTAGTTTTAGACGAGTATTACGACTCTCGAAAATCCTTCTCTCACGAGTCATCTAAGATTTTGGATAATCACAGCCGAGTTCAAAGTTTGCCGACAAAAGCCTTTGCAGATGAGTTCAACACACATTTGAATCTGACTGATAGCGAGGATGATCTTGAAGAATATAAAGGAAGTCTGAGTAGGGCCTCACATTCCAAAAGGCAGAGATTTAAATCAGAATCAGTGGACATAGAGCCTATTAACCAGAAGAGGCTCTCTTATTCTCAAAAATAACGAAGACTACTTTATAGCATCCTTCCCAGTGGACTGAAATATTACCAAAGCCAAGCTAGAGGATCTGGTCAGTCAAGGAGTCGTCATGGATGAGAGCCCTGAGTATGTCGAGCATGTTTATAAGAAAGGTAGAATGCCTGTTAAAAAATCTTTATAATTCGTACACCTATTAGCATTTTCAATATACCTACGATTTTTGGGGTTTTGGGGTTTTGGGGTTTTGGGGTTTTGGGGTTTTGGGG